ATGGTCTTATTCCAAAACCTTTGTTGTACTAAAGAGCCTGATAATTTCAGAGTAAGATTTTCCTAAGCGATGGCACTGTCACTCGCAAATATTATTCCATGTCTATAATATTGTAAACAGTGCTTATCAGGACAGACAGGTAAGCCGATAATAACATCCTCTGGGGCCAAAGGCAATATTTGTGTAACTATACAAAACAAACGGTAAGCACATCCCCTGTGTTTAAAGTCATGACAATAGCTAATGTAACTTACCGATCAAAACATTAACTTGTTTACTATAAATTAACTTTATTGATTACAGAATAATCAACTTAATCCGGCAAAGATTCGCTGAGGCTTCATCTTGTGTTTACTTGGTAAATTTGGGATTAAAAATAGAATTATTAAATTATTTTGAACACAATATTTAAAGAAACTCGTACATAAAATTAGAAAGTGGACGATCAATTTTAAATCTTAAACTATTCCTCTTAAGTTCAAAAATTTATTGCAGGAGTGTTGCCTTTTGTAACGTTAAGTATATCAAAATGTATGATAATTATACAATATAAGGTGCATTGCATGTTATTCGTTGGGTTAATTAAGTGAATATTTTAAAAAATACCTTAAGAGCTATATAATAGATTACTAACCGGTCAAATTATATTTTTTCCACAAGTACAATCAAACTATTATGAATATTGCAAAACATATCCCCTATTTTCAAAACATATTCAAGTAGGTTTATATACCTCTATAACGTAGTATTCAAATATTAAATTGGATTATTAGAAAAAATATTTGTAATAGCATTACTATTGCTTTTATTTTACTGCCTACAAAAGAAATGAAGAGGTGAAATATTCCTTACTCAAGTAAGCTTATTGAGAATACGAAATTGTCTGTAAGAGGAATGTAGCATTGAGAAATAATAGGAATTTGCCATTATTATATTCATGTATAATTGAATTTCTTTAATTTTATATGTATATACAGTAGATTCAATATTCAATATTATTTTATATCTACTCAAATCCCTTTTATATTTCAAATGTAAGTAAGTCAATATTGTCTTTAGGTATTTATTTATAAAAATGTCGAGTACGAGGTAAATATTTGAAAATTTTGTTTCTTAGGAGTCATATTAGCGTTCCGGAAATAGACGAATGTTTAATTTTGTAAAAACAAGGTCTTATTAAATAGATATAAACACAGTGGAATCAGAGGACAAAGAAGGTCCTGCTCGACTAATGCGGTTACTGAAGTAATTCGGCAGGGAATGGAATACTTTATTCCATTCTCCGATATCCCGCTCGGATACAAAGCCCGCCCTTGGTATAACGCTGATTGTGCACGTGCTGATGCTCGTAAAGAGTCAGCATACCAAGTACTCGAAGGGTCCAGTCCAAGAAGAGAGCCTTTAACTCTGCTGCCAAGTCATATAAGAAGGTCCTCCGAAAGGCACGTTTCAACCATGTTAGTCGTATAGGGACCAAATTGGCAGCCTACCCTTCTGGTAGCAAGCAGTTCTGGTCTTTATCAAAATCAGTCGAAACCAATTTCTGTCATCCCACACTGCCTCCAATGCAAAAACCTGATGGTTCACGGGCTCACACCGCTACTGAGAAAGCTAATTTATTTGCCTCTCTGTTTGAGGAGAATTCGCGCCTGGACGCTGGCTATAAAATTCCTCCAACTCAACCTCGATGTGATTCTTCAATGCCACGGATCACAATTCACAATAAATAGGTCCGGCAAGTGTTACAGTGTTTAGACGTGAATAAGGCTAATGGACCGGATGGCATACCTGCAACAGTGCTGAAGAACTGTGCACCCGAGTTGTCTCCTGTATTGACATGCCTGTACCGTCTCTCTCTAACTAGTCAAATGGTTCCAAAGTCCTGGAAGCTTGCTAATGTGCAACCGGTACTCAAAAAACGCAGCCAAGCGAATCCTTGTAATTATCGACCCATCGCTATTACCCCCATTATTTGCAAAGTTATGGAGAAGATACCCAAAAGCAAATTATTGACTTACCTTGAGCAGAATGATCTCCTTAGTGACCAGCAATTTGGCTTTCGCCATGGGTGGTCCACTGGGGATCTTCTAGTTTATGTCACACATTGCTGGGGAGAGGCTATTGAGAAGCACGAAGCACTTGCAGTGTCTCTTGATATCTCGAAGGCTTTCGACACGGTCTGGCACTCAAGTCTGCTGAGCAAGCTTCCAGCGTATGGGATCCCTGCTGGTATCTGACTTCCTTAGTACTGGATATCTGACTTCCTTAATAAACGATCGATCAGAGTGGTCATCGACGGTTGCTTCTCTGACCCAAAAACGATCGATGCTGGAGTTCTTCAGGGGTCTGTCCTCTCTGCGACCCTTTTCCTGCTGCACATTAATGACCTGCTAACTCCAGGCATTGTTGGGTATGCAGATGACAGCACGGTTATTGAGAGGTATTTATCCGACGTAAAGGCCAGTAGACAAAACGTGCATCTGTTAAGAGAGGCCATGGTCAAGCGTATGAATGCTACCTTAATTCTTGTCTCCCAATGGGGTGACAACAATTGGGTCAGCTTCAATACCACCAAAACGTATGCGTGTCTTTTCAGTGCAAAAAGGACTCACTTCGACCTAACTCCCACTTTCCGAGGATACCATACACATTTAGTTGATATGCCGAGATGCCACACAAAGCGGTTTTCTTCCTCTTTTTTACTGCGCACCGCCAAGGAGTAGAACACCCTATCGGCGTCTATATTCCCGAGTACATATAACCCAGACCTATTTAGGGCAAGAGTGAATAGGTTCCTTCTGGGCAAGCTCGTCCCACCGTAGATCTCATCTGTGTCCTTGGGCTAAATTGAGGTCAAGAGTGAGCCCATTGTTAATAAAAAACAATAATAATACAATATAATAGTAGAGTATATATACTATAGATACTCGTAGTATCTAACTATAGAAGAAGAAGATATACATATTTAGATATAACTATGATCTTTTTCACTTACTCTAGATTGAGTAAAACTTGTTTCGCCAATTACATACAATGAGCCTTGATCCTTTTCTTGCTGTTACACTTTCTTCTTTTTTTAGAGGTCTATGCCCTAAAGTGTACAGTGTAAAAAACCTTAAATGGATGGATGAACACAGATCATCATTTGACGACCTCCATAAGAGAGTGGTTTGCATGTCAGCTTTAAGGTGCCGCCATTTCTGAAATCCCGGGGTTGGTTACTGGTCGGCTCAATTTTGAAAATAGACTTTTCTATATTGGTTCACGTTTGAATGGTGTGGTACTTTCGCTGTCTCAGATTCTCTATATATAATACGGAGGCTTTAACTACCCATCTTGGAATCTGAGTAATGTGTGTGAAGTTGTCAAATATTTAATGTTTTGTTTTTTTTTTATTTTTTTTATTGAATATTTTTATTCATGTGATTGTAGAATAAACGTTTTTTATTTATCTATCTCTATCTACCTAAGATATTGAGTATGAGTTTCACAATGAGGCAAAAACAATTGTTAAAATATCTTCAACAGTTCAACATTAACCCTTCGTCTAAGTTAAATATAAATTTCTCGATTGTATGTATAAGTATAGTTTTCCGCTCATTGCAGGTTTTTAAAGCTAGTTTTAATGAAAAAGTTTTTACTGTTATCTTACAAATAATTGTCTGATGCAAATACCATATCGTTATGAGAGCTTTTTTTATGATAACACTAACCATGGTGATGTCACCAATAAAAGTGTTATTCGGACTAGGGTGTGTCAGTTTAAGTTCATTAAATAGAATATGTTACTACACGAGTACAGTTTATACAAGATCCTAAAAAGTAATTTATACTCATATTAAATTTGTAAAATTACGCTTAGTTACTTTATACTCGATGCGGTGGTTAGCGCGTTCGGTCTGAAATACGGTAGTTAAGCAATTCTCACAATGACCGGTAATAGGATGGGTGACGAAGGAGCGCGATAAAAAAATATTATATTGAGTTTCTTCGTGCTCCGCGAGGTATGTTAAGCCGCTGGTCGCTGCTGCATCTGCAGTTCGTTAATATCTACCTATTCAAACTGAGCCCGCGCGGTGGGTCATGTCCAATTATCCCTATTCGATTCCATCCATAGGGTGGAGATGATGATGATGATGATGATGACGCAGAGTTAAATAAATATAATTGAGCAATACAAATGTACAAAAGCTGATAAATACTGATTTAGTTCTAGATACAAATTAAACTACAAATTACAATACTACCAAGAGTACACATATTACATATAGCTCTCTCTAGTAATTTTGTTAGACTGAAACCAGTAACTTATTAGAATTTAGATTTTGAATTATTTGAATTCTAGGTATTAAAATGAATTGGACTATCCTGTGCCCACTGTACAATAGTGCACAGGCTATTCTTGAGTATGGAACTGAATTGGGAGAATGAACCTTAATTCACCATGTGGGCCCAGAGATTTGGTAGGTGTAAATGGGTACTACCCACCAGTAGAACCACGGGAAAATATTTTTTTACCTGTGGTGCCCTAATATTTGTAATGATAAATTAATTACATATTAAGGTATATATTAGGGTGGAGCGAATTTTTTTTTGTCACTGAACTGTAATGTAATAGTTGAAATTTGCTGCCTTATAGGTTTAATTTAAACCATCTAAAATATTATAAAATTTTGTTTAGGGAATTTATGAAAATAGTCGGGTTTTTACACTCTAATTCGAAGTCATGTTTATGTACGATATTTTTGAATAAACAAACATACTATTTTTTATCAAGAAAGTTTACTTGGTATAATATAGATTCGACACAAAATAAAACGAAGTTCGATCGAAATTTGTGTTTCATAATTTAAATAAGGGGGGTGAGGAAGCGCGGGGGGTGATACTTAGCTTGCACTTGTCGCGTCGTGCGCGCGTCGTCAGTGCTCTTTAATATTAGCTCGGATCAGTCGTACGCTCGTTTATCGTTAAAATACGTTCGATATTCTTTCGTGGCAACTATGCAAAGAACTCGGAGCGTATTCAAATGTCCTCTATTTGGTGATGTTTGTGAGATGAAAGAGAACGTTCTACCTACTTACGAAGATGTAATGAAGTACTATGAGTGGACGAGACATCAACTGAAATTACAATTAGAAACTGCAAAAGAACCAATTTTTGGTGAGATAGCAGATATAGTAACGTCGAGGGTTGAAAAGATATGGCAAACTGCATCTATTCCAACAGTGACTCGAACAAGGATTGTTCAAATGTTGAAAGCATATCATTTAAAGTGCAAAAATCTACTGAAGTCTATCAAGAGGCTCTCCCCGGACAAGTTGAATAGTTTTCAGCAAAGCAGTAAGATACTTTTTGATATTTCAGCATGCAAGTGCAAAGAATTCGCTCAATGTATCTGTCCTAAAGATAAAAAGGTTCCTAAACTAGAGCAACCTTTTTTGACCGATCAAAGAACGACTCGGGTAATGGTAATCTGCGGAATCGACGTTACTGCTACAAAAAAGTTGCAAAAGACTCTAAAAAGGAAACATGAACGGGAGAATCGCCAAAACACTTCAACGTTAGCTGATCTAAATGTTAGTACTTCTTCAGCGACATCATCAGAGTCAGAAAAGCAAGAATCTTCCATGATCATAAACGTCATTGAAAAGAAAATAAAAAAATCGACGCTAAATTTTCCCACGTTATCGAAGATATGTGATAGGTATGGAGTGTCTGATAGAGCAGCAGCAGCAATAGCATCGTCTGTTTTGTTCGATATTGGGTCTGATGTTGAGATCGTCATACTTGCTCTTGGCTTTATACTTTGATGGGAGAAAAGACAAAACTATGAAAATTGACAAAAAAGGCGGTAAATGCTACAGGACTATGGTTGTTGAGGAACATATTTCACTGATTCAAGAGCCGGGATCCATTTACATGGGATACGTGGTACCTGATGTTGGTACAGCAAAAGGGATAGAAACCGCCATAACAGGGTTTCTGTTACAGAAAGAAGTTTCCCAAGATAAAATTATGGCAATTGGTTGTGATGGTACGAATGTTAATACTGGAAAGTATGCTGGAGTAATAAGGCTGCTTGAAAAAAGGTTACAAAAACCACTTCAATGGATAATTTGTTTGCTCCACTTGAACGAACTGCCTTTGAGACATATGTTTCTTCATCTCGATGGGTGTACTTCAGGACCTAAATCTTATATTGGTCCACTAGGAAAATCACTGGAAACCTGTGAAAAGCTGCCTGTTAAAAAATTTGAACGCATCGAAGGTCAAATGCTACCAGAAATGGCCAAAGATCTGAGTACAGACCAACAGTACTTGTATAAAATTGTCTCGGCGGTAATTTCGGGTGAATTTCCAGAAGACCTAGGCAATAAATCTCCAGGAAAATTATCACATGCTCGTTGGATCACGCGTGCTAACCGAATTCTGCGTTTCTATGTATCAACTGAAGAACCATCTGAAAATTTGAAAACTCTGGCTACTTTTGTGGTCAAAGTTTACGCACCTTCTTGGTTCTTAATTAAAAATAAACCATCATGCAAAGATGGCACGCGTCATCTGTTCAATATTATAAAGGCCTCCAGATACTTACCAGAAAATCTAAAAAAAATTATAGATCCTGTTATCCAAAGAAACGGTTACTTTGCGCATCCTGAAGGGATTCTACTTGCGATGATAACAGATGAGAAAAAGCATGTTAGAGAGCTGGCAGCTCGACGCATACTGAAGGCACGCAGTACTGCTCAACCTCCAACACCTAGACTGTTTCAAGTGCCATTGATAGATTTCAACGCGTCTACATATATTGATTTAATAAATTGGCAAGAAAGTTTTACCGAACCACCGATTTTTAAAAACTTATCGGACCAGGAAATTGCGAACATAGTCGAATCTGGTGGTGAAAGCGAATTATTGTTTATAAGGCTTCCCTGCCATACTCAAGCTGTTGAAAGAGCTGTAAAGACTACGACAGAAGCTTCCACTTCTCAGTGCACAATAAAGTCGAGATTAGGTGCAATAAATGCCAAGCTGGAATCGCGGAAGAATATGCCTAAATTCGAAACTAAAAAGGATTTTAAACCTAAATAATAAAAATGTTATTTTTCAAGTATGTTTAAAATTTATTTTTACAGCAATGCCTTAATAAATATCTCACTTATATATTGTTTATCATTGAACCCCTAATTATCACTAAATGATTCACAGTATATAGCCTTTTAAACTTTTTTAACCTAATTTTCAATTATTAAGTCACTGCGGGCGGAGGCTGAAGATGTTAACCAAATGAAATGAAAAATCCCACATTTTTTTACTTTAACATAAGGCACAAATCCCCCCCTCTTAGAATTCTGAACCTTAAAAAAAATTTTGTTTCATATGTCCGTACTCCACCCTAGTATATATATACCCATGAAGGTTGTATATGAAGTTTTATTTATTTTAATTATCATTTGTTATATCTATCCATAGTTAAATTGGAATTCGTTACATTACATTAATTACATAAAACATACTTGTAAATATGGATTATAAATATCTGATGATATCAAACGCGAACCTATGAAATTGCAAAAATATACACAAATCAGCTGCAGGCTTCGACACACATACATACATACCATACACTGAAAAATAAATACAAGCTTGTAATGATGTAATAGTTCTTTTCTAACTAATTATACCGATACCTAACAAGAAAGGTCTGTTATGATTGGCGCGTGACGTCACTTTCACGTGTTACAATATGACGATTCAGTCCACAAACTAATTAGAGCGTATGCCTATATCAGCATGTGAATATAACTTATGTCACAATTAATCAAACTGTCTAATAGATTATTTATATGTAATCATACTATGGGAAAGTTGACTGTTGCAAAAGAATGCACCTTGCATAATATAGAATTCATGAGTTCAAAATCAACTTTTATATAGGGTTCGGCGTGGGAATCTCTTTAGTTTAATAGCACGTCATACAAAAACTATTAGTTTTTAATAGTGAGTATAAGCGTATGGGAAAATGCCTAGCTTAGAAATTTTTTGACTGGTGAGTTCAGGAATAACTGTGTTGTTGGAACAGTGAGAAGCGCTCGATTACTGCGTCACGCTACAATTAAACCGGCGTAGAGAAACATTAGGCACTGTCGCCTAATAATGCCCACTGGTTATTGACCGCTGAAGTAGTAATCACCTAACCAAACAGGTTTATATTATATTCTCTTATACTTAGCGTTGAGTCGGTTCAAGACTATAATTGTATTCTAGTTGGATTTTTAGTATTTCGAAAATTGACGAAATTTCGTTTTTGATTAAATAGAATAGGCCTGCAGGTGTCATGTTAATTCGTACTAGTAGTATTAATAACGTGTCTAAAAGGCCTGGTCCTTCAAAAACACATAGTTTTGAAGAGAACAATAGAGCGTTACAGTTGTTTTCGATCTTTATACGAGTATATGATGACATTTTTTCTTTCTGTAGTTGAAAAAATTGATGAATGATGGATGATCAACAAGATGATATTCCTCAACCATGCGGCATAAATCTCCAAGTGTCTATAGTGAGAACATTTCTCCAAAGGCCATCTTTCTTTATGGGGTGATTTAGAGTGTCTAGCGCTCGCCAGGTTTAACACCCTGTGATTTCTCTTTATGAGGTTATTTTCAATCTTTGGCAAATATGTTCTAAAACCTTTCAAGAAGCTATCGTAAGGATTGACAAATGCTGGACATAGTGAACCAAGAATTTTATTCTTTTAGTCAATTAGTAGATGACCTTATTTACTTTGTATTATATCTCCGTTCTCACCGTTTTAAACTTCACTGGACTACAACAACCAATTTAAAAACCAAATCAGATAAATTGGTCCAAAATTATAAATAAATATTGATAATGAACTGGATACTGGTCGCTTTTAAGACATATTTTTAAAACACAATAAAAATTAAAATAGGTTGTTTAAAAATATATATTTTATCATTATTTTAAACCAGAAAGCTCTTCGCCACAATGTGTATATCCATTTCCATATTTAACGAATTAAGTAATATTCTAAAAACCATTATGTTTTAGATATATGTATCCATTAAGAATCTCACTGTTAGTCTATAAAAAGGTTATATCTTTTGTTCCTATAATACGAGTTTTAATATTAAAATCTCGAAATACTATCGGTAAAAGGATCTAAAAATGCCAGTGCAATGATTGCAGCAACTGCAAAAGAAGCGCCACAAAGAAATTTTTGTAAGCATCTGCGCTCCTCTCAGATACATTTCGAGCCGCGAAATGACGACCGAGATAAGCACTGCCTACGATTCAGCGGCAGCTTTCGTTACAGACTACGACAGTAGACAACTGCGCGTCGTAGTAAGCGGACGCGCGCCACCCGTAGCAGGTCGTGCTACGTTCACGGCGCGTTATGTATTCTCGTAGCGCGCCCAAACAAAAACAAATAGTGATATGAGCTGTACATCCCCTAGCGTTATTTTCCGACTGACTCTCCTAACTTTAACGTTGATAATATCGTGCACATTCATCGCTAGTGTTGTGTGGTTATTACGGACGAGGGGCTCGGCCAGTCAATATGAAAATTACTACTTGTCGCGAATTAATATAAGTGCTAGAACTAGTGAAGTTAATACTACATCGCAACCCGTGTCGGATCACTACAAAGATCTGATTAAGATAGAGATCGCTATGAGGCGAGTGGAGGAGAACAGTAGGAGATTAAAGGAATATACTAAGTCGCTCCTTTGGGATAACAAGGACAAATCCCTGTGGTGTGTTTTGTTTAAAGATAGTGAGAGAGGGGATAAGTCTTTGATACGTGCAGGGAAAAATAGGAATATAATTGACGAAGACTATATACGTGTGTTGCGCGAACAGAAAATGAGAGAGGCCACTATACATTTGAGGCATCATGGTTCACACCATCGTCGGAGACCAGAAGTGTTACCCAACATGCCGTATATAAAATAAAAGTGAACTACTGGATTTGTAAATAATAAAAAAATTATAGTGTAAATATATTTTTTTATAAAATCATGTAAATAAATGTAATCAGCTTAATCTGACAATATTTGGATTCAATCAAGTGTTTGCAAAACATTGTGTGTAAGTTTATTATTAACGATTCGTTTTCTATTTTTTATCAAAATCTTTTTAATATCTTATTTGAAGTTATGAAGAAAAGGTAAAATTAATGAATTTATTGTCATCGCTTTTTGAATTGTATAAGTTAAATAAATTTTATTATAAAATTATAATAACAAATTTCTCAAATATAATTTGAATCACAACGTTTCATGTTCTTTTATATATTTAACTGACTTTTTGATTTTATGGAATTTCAATGTGTTTCTGTAGATCAATTTAATACTATAAATATTAAATTAAAAAAAATCATTTGTTGTAAAAGTGTTCATGACAATGTGAAACGTTATTTAGAAAAATTAAAAGCTTTATAAAGAAAAAAAACCTTTTTTAATTAACCGAAAATTTTATTTATTTAAAATGGACTTACATATGAATATATACGCAGCTTTAATAATCTTTGGGGCTTAGAAGTTCTTGTAATTAAAATAATAAGTAATAATGGTATAGCAAATTGATTAAATAATGTATTTGTATACAGATGATGCGTATGGTTATAATTTTTTAGTGATACATGAGCGAGTGGTTATGAAAAATATGCCAACTGCGAGTCGGAATCACGCACCGAGGATTCAGTATGAAAAAAAAACGCAAAATTCACGTTTATCGTATGGGAGTCTCCTTAAACATTTATTTAATTATGTGGTTTAGTTATTTCGGTAAATGAAACTCTGTGAATTTTCAGCTATCACTGTTCATCAGATAAAGCCTGGTGACAGACGGACAACGGAGTCTTAGTAATAGGGTCCCATTTTATAATTTGGATAGGGCCTCTAAAAACCTGCTGCTGCGCACAAAAAAGTTTGTGTTCGCCTATTTGCTTGATAACCTCAAAATAATTATTTTAAAATAATTTATAATGAAAAAAAAAAAACAATAAACTCTTTCATTGAGGTCTCACAATTATTTGTTTTTTTATTATTATTTAATATTGTCACTCTAAAATAGTAGAGAACATCGGTGGTAATGGATAAGCGCTGCGGCCTGCGATGGTTGTTGTTAAGCAACTCTCGCAACGGTCGGTCACGAGATGGGTGACCAAAAATTTATTATCTCTTGCTACTTCGTGCTTCAAAAGGCACGTTGAGCCGTTGGTACCGGCTGCATTTGCAGTCGTTAATATCCTTCAATCCACATTGGGCCAGCAGCTTGGGAGGTTATGGTCCATTCTTCTTATCCATCCATTAGGAAGACTGATGATGACTCTAAAATAGAGGCATCGTATTTAAAACTAATTTATTTACTTTACACGGCTGTTTTGGCTAATGATCTTGCATTATTTATTTGGCAGGAGACACAGATGAACAATGAAAAAATAATAAAACTTGGAATAACTAAAAGTCAAAAGACTTTTGACTTTCTGTGGAAACTTTTTACTTTTTAGAAAACAAATTATAAGTAACAAATCTTAACTGTCTCGATTCCAGTGGTTTTGGAGAAAATCAGCTGTCACAAATTAATGGATAGACGCACAGACAACTTACCTATGAGGGCTCAATTTCTTATGACTTCAATAGAACTTCACTTTGCAAGATTACTCCATGGTGTGGTAAAAACCTATTTTGAATTCTCAACTAAACCAATTTTAATATTACTAATTGTACTTGTATTGTATTTAGTAATTGTATTTAGTAATTAGCCTCAAATTACAAGAGGACCAGGTAGAAGATTGATATGAAGTTGAATCTGCTATCACTTTGAATTTACAGTCTTTGACACTTATATCATAACTCCTTAAAATCTCCTCTCAAAATGAAGGATGAATTTTTGGAAGGATGAATTCTAATCTGTTAAATTTATTTTTAATGAAAAATTGTTAAAAATTCCACTTTGTCCCTTAACAAGTGCATGAAAAATTCATCAGTCCTGTTAGGTACTGGGTAACTCACTAGTTAGAGCAGCCGCCCGGATTGCGAAAGGCCATGGGTTCGAGTCCCATCTCAAATCACTATCAATATTATTTAGTATAGCATTGTGAATGCAAAATTGATCAAATATTTTAGCATATAGCTTTATTTGATTTTGTGGTCCGAAAATATATATATTTGATTTTGTGGTCTGAAAATATAATTTTAAATCTAAATAATTACGGAACCCTATGGAAAGTTTATTTCTATTCATATCTCAAAAACTTTAACATTTGTCAAAATAAGAAAATTTTCAATTTTTTGATCTTACAACTGGATTTCTTCAAGTATTATGATAAAAATAAGTTGTTATTTATCATCCTCCTGATCTTGATGAAAATCATGTCTTTATCATGATCTTTCGAGATAAATATACTAACCCCTATGTGAAAGTAGCCTTGTAAATGGTATATATATATTGATTGAGGCTATTTTAATTTTACTCCCATTATTTTATCTATTATATAACTTGGAGGGTTTAATCTTACCCGATGCCTTTTAGAGTACAATAATGAATAACAATATGAAGGCATACAGTCTAAGATGGTTTCCCATTGTATTCTTATCAAAGAGTAAAGCTTACGATCCTTTAGAATGAAAATCCTTGATTTAATATTTTATTATGTATTTATTGGCTGTGAATGGGCAATGAAGTATATTGAGCTTAACTTATTTGAAATTAATTAATCAATATAATGTTTCAAGTGTAATAAATGAATCGGAAAGGTTAATTGAGAATTATTTGGCTAATTAAGAAACTTGTGTTCTTTAGAATAATTTTATATAACTCTATTACGTATATAAATGTAGTAGGCATATTCTGAGACGTGTTGTATTATTAAATGATGTGTGGTTATTAAAAAAAAAATGGTAGGGAAATTTTTAAAATTTGATAACTGTCGTTCTTTTTCTTTAAAATATCTGTCTAATAAATTTTTGCGACTATTGTATGATACTTAAGTAAAGTACTCAAGGATTTTTTGCTATTATTATTATAAATTGATTAATTATTTCCTAATCCCTGCATTTACATTGATTCTTTTGGAAGCAGCACCTCTGCGAACGTTCATATCCATATAACGAAATCATGCACTTAATTTTTTACGGAAAGGGCTAGGCGTGATGTTTTTTTCCACTTTGTGTGAGGGCACTACTATTTTAATTCATTGGCTATACGAGTATATATAGACGGATTTTTCAAGCACTTGGTACTTCTAGCTACAAGTGAGCATATTTCCAATAAATATTCATGCAGACCACCCAAACAGCCGAACAAAATATTTCTACAAATATTTTTAACTTTGAAACTTGTAATAATTGCACTGAAAATGATATATTGATAAGGATATTTACTTGTTAGACCACAAAATACAGATATATATAATTCTGTTACATCTTGACTGAACATACTATACCATTGAACTGAGTTGATTACCTAATTTTCAACATACAGCGCCTCTAGCTTTAGGGTTTTATATATATTTTAAGCATATCACTAACAGGAAATTCAAATTGACATCATTAAAAAGTTTTAAAATGAAAATTCACAAAAAAGAAACAAAAAAATAACCTACTTTATATATTTTATGGATGAGAAATTCAAAGGATGTAAAAGGCTAAGGAAGTCGGGACACACCTTTCACGATTCTATTGATCGCGTGATATCGAATGATGATGTCAGAAGCCATAAAAAGTCGAGTATATATGAAAGTTGGATGCAGAGATCGTAGAACCATAGGTCGTGTTCAGGCATTGCCTATGCTCAACGATAATTGATGTTTATTTTTTGTATATTTTCCAATTTGAAACGCTATTTGTCCAAAGTCATTAAAACAAACGTATAATAGCAGGTATGTACTCAATGTGCCATCATTTATTCAGATAACGAAGTGTCCAAAGGAAAATGTGTCGTAACTACAGACACGACAAAACACTTATAACTTTTAAAAACCTGGCACCTTGATAGCGCTATCGACGCCAACGCGTAACTCACTTGTCAGAAATGATGAATTGCCTCTAATATTAAAAAGTAAATGAAGTACCTTTTAAACACGGCTCCCGATGGACGGGGATAAAGTGAGATCCGGGGAGTTCTCATAATAAATGTGTCAGAAAAATCTGCTCGTAATCTCGAATTCTTTTAAGGCTACGTTTAGTTATCTGAACGGTTCATCTAGAAGGATGGGAGTTATTTAAAAACGGTCAAGCTCGGATACGAAAAATGGGCGATCCTGTTTCCATAATAACAATAAGGTTGAATGCCTTTTATCCTTACAATTTTTTGTTGGTATTTTATTTTGAGACATTCCGCAGAGGTTTTTATGAAAGTGACTATGTAAAATATTGTTTTTGTACTACAAAAAGGGATTATAATTGCCCACGTCATTTGTAAGATAAATTATTAAGAAGCTCTAATACTACGTAAGTATCATTACATCGATAAAATTGCTCAACTTGAACTAAATTATATGTATGTTTTGTGTTTTTTTTTACAAATCGGAACAATAAAGTAATTATATTTTAGAAGGTACATGGTAACATTCCCGTAAAAAAAGTCAGTCTAATGTAAATGACCATGAAAACTTAAAACAAAATATAATTATATATATAATAGGTATATTAAAAACTCTTGTGTATATCTAAAACCAAGACTGTAATGTTTATTGTTATTAGATATTATCTTTATTGTTATTATTCTTAAATGATTATTGTACATTTAAATTATGTTTTTATCAAAACTTTTTTTACAAAACGTTTTTTACATAATCATGATATGTATTATTTCACGTACAATTCATGTACTGTTTTTTTAAGTATAAGAATTATGCTGGTTGAGTGTGGTGGTACTACGACAGAGTATCACATACTCATATCTATTCATTCATTCAGGAGCTACCGTCCCACAGATAGATCCACAGACAAAACACAGGTCAAATTTATAACACCCCTCTTTTACGCGGGACTTAAGGCAAAGTTGTAAAATAAGCACTTTTTAATGTATTTTTTAAGGTATTTTTAATGTAATATTAGCATATAATATTTGCCAAGTAAAAAATATTTTATGAAAATGAAACATATTGTCGATTAGAGAAAATCGCAAATAAGACTCTTAATAGGTTATTTGGATCGATTTTGCGACTAGTATAGTATACTTCATCGAAACCATATATTACATATATATATATATATATATATATATATATATAATATATCGATCTTTGAGCTATATATATATATATATATATATATAGCTCAAAGATCGAAATCGCTCATTGAGCGTTGTTGTAAGAAAAATATACATATAGCGAAATTCGTACTATGGCTCTTATGGAAACAAGCGCACGCTCACGCTCACGACGCGTTTTGCCATTCACTGAATAACAACATAGCGAAATCCATTTCCTGGCTTTGTCATGCTATTCGACCACAACGTGTTGTGGTAATTTTCATGAATCTAAAATTAAAAAGTGACTTAAAATGTGACTACTTTCTGATGCATCTGTCTTGCTGCATATGATCTGTGCCTGTGAGAAAAATAATCCACCTTCCATAAATATAAAGTCAATTCATTTTAGTTACGACAAAGATTTTATCGCGTGACAGCTAGATTGATTCATATTTGTGTTGACCTTCGGATAAATTACTTACTTAATTTTCTATTAGAAACAAAGGATCTGTCATTTTTATAAAAATATTTGATGTAATAATGCTTTTAGTAGTACGGATAGTTTAATTACTACCTGATAAATAATTGGAATCTTAAGTCAGAAAAGTTATAATTATCCAATTGATTGCATCTATAATGCTATATTAATTGTCGTCATCATCATTCGTTTTCTATGGCCGCACTGATGGGTCACAGACTTTCCTAGGAATGGAATCTGATAAGTACTTGCTATAACCCAAAACGCAGGTCCATTGCGGATTGCTGAATGTTAACGACTATAGATTCAGCTGGGACCAATGGTCCAACGTGCCTTCTTGAGCACGAGAAAATACATTTTTTACACAACCGACGGTCCACAAATCGACCGCGCTAACCATTGCACCATCGATATTCTCCATGTATACTAAAACTTGCAAACATCCTTTACTAAAATCTACATGAAAGTTTATTTATTTTAATTATAATAATGGTATTTATTT